AACGGTGGAGCCTGGTGAGTATTTCATGAAGTGGGTAGTTTTCCGATGAGTTTCGGTCGTTTTTTGCTCAAGAGCAAACGCTGTCGGATAATGTAAAACTTCTCGAATTGCGTTTAGGCCTCTGGAGACGACGGTTATGTCGAAACGTTAGGCCATTAACTTAATGAAGTATTCCACCTAAGATCCTCGAACGGCAGAAGAATTAAAACAACGTCAACGAAAATGCTGAGGTCAAAACAAGAGAGAACTTTGAAATTACTAGTAACAGTATAAATGGCCCATCTTTTCCAGCCTTTTGGAGAAATAAGGGATTGGAGCCGCAGAAAGAGTAACGGAGTAAAAGAGTAGGAGAAAAACATTGCCTCAATACTCGGCGATCAGCTGATTGTGTGTAGGTCCTAGAGCGAATATTGCAGTCTGTATCGCCCCGACAATAGTCTGTCGAGAGGCGGGGCATCCGGGCTATTCGGTAACGGGGTTCTGGCTATGCTCTATCTGTTGCGTTTTCAGACCCAACAGCGTCACTCTTGTTACCTTTGGTGGCGACCAGGTATTCCTAGAGGGAAGACTAAGAAACGAATTTTATCGTGAACTGCGCCTTTGACCTGGCCTCCCTTCAAAAGGTAGGAAACGCTCGGACTTCATTGCCTCATTCCTAAACCCCCTTTCACAGATAGATTTATCTGCTCTACAAACTAAAATATTCCTTCCCAATGAAAAGAAAAATGCAATAACAATCTGGTTTCGGTCGGATTCCGTTTTCATCTTTTCTGCAACATTCCGTAGCCATTCAAATAACTCTTTCATCGTACCCTTTTTATCTACTTGTTAGCTTTTTACCATTCAAAATAAAAGAAGAGATGTGTTGGTGGAGGTGAGATCTGCCTAACATAATTTCAGTGGTTTGCAAGGTGTTTTGCCCGGATCGGACATGTTGTGCGAAGAAATCAGCAAATGCCAATCCATGCGAAAAAAAGCATTACTTCGACTCGTCTAAATCAAGCTCATACGTGGAATTCTCCACCAGGAGGTCATTCGAAATCAGCGTGGGTCTTCATGTTTGCTTTCGGTTCCACTACGCCTATACTAATTGGTAAGTAGCCGGGTGTACGTCGTATGTGTAGTGTAAAATCCAACCCATCCTCTCTACCTACACTCCTGCACTACCCTTTCTGTGGGTCATGGCTGGATTTCGTTAGCATTTCAATTGAGAGTGCTTTTCCACTATCATTTTCGCATACTGTGCAGCTGTGGCAAGCCCGCAAGGGTGAGGAGGAAAATGGAGATTATTGAAGCCTTACTAATATTTCTAGGAGAATTTCACCTTGAAACCACGGCCTACAGACCTTGATCTTCTGACTTTTGTTTTCTTAGTAATTAACAGTTAAGTTACTTATCACAGTCTAATTCAGTACGGTACCGGTTCTGCAAAAGGGTTCCTTGGCAATGACACTGTTCGATTCGGCCGTGAAGGTGAACGTGATCGGCTGATGGTTCCTGGTTGTGCCATTGGGCAAGCCGAGTCAATAGCAGAGTTTTTTGCTGATGTCAGTACATTTTTATTATTCAGTGAACAAATTACAATTTGCTTCTACACCGGTTGCAAGGCAATTTGCCATGCGATCTTTGAATATTACTCATAAGTGAGTGAGTGATGTCAGTGTTTCCTTGATTGTAGAAACTTCCGCCTTTCAACATCGTGATATTGAATTTTCAGACTGAACTTGACGGTATTCTTGGATTAGCATTCAAAGACCTTTCTGTGACAGACACGCGGCATCCTTTCCTACAGGCTGTCCAATTGGGATTGGTGGATCCGATCCTCACCGTTTATTTGCAACGCTTAGGAGGTTCAAATGAATGTCTAGTTTGTTAATGTTGTTAATGCACAATAGACTCAACAATAGTTGGTTTAGAGTCGGCAGAAGGAGAATATGGAGGAGTCTACACGTATGGAGGTCTTGACAACGAGAACTGCGGACAGGTTATTGCGTATGAGCCACTCACGTTGGCTCTTTACTGGCAATTCAACGTGAGTCCACAAATGCAACTAACTCACTCGATCAAGTGGATAATCGGCTATGAATCACTCTCTTTACAGATGAAAAAATTCAGCGCAAAAAATCTCGTGTTCAAAGCCGGTTGGGAGGTGATGTCTGACACCGGTACGTCGTTCTTGGGCATCCCTTCAGCAATTATCGACCAAATAGCCAGCACGTACAACGCTAAGGTAAGTTACTCTAGATTTTGATCCCTCGTCAGGCAGATTTTAAATATGACGTAAAAAACATCCCACTTCAGCACAATCAGTCCTATAGTCTCCATTTTCAGTATAATCAAACGACTGATCTCTACACAGTCGACTGTAACACGGATGTGGAATTCGTCCTAACTATAGGCGATCACGCCTATGTGATTGAAAAGAAGAATCTTGTCTACAAATTTGGGAACACCTGCTTAATTCCAATGTTCTCGATGGGTTCTGGCGCTTTTGGACCCTCTTGGCTTCTTGGTGATCCATTTATCCGCCAGTTTTGCAATATTCACGACTTTGAGAAACAAAGAATCGGCTTTGCTGAGCCACTTCGGAAGTAGTACATTTTACTTACTCCACTCTAAGATTTGTGAAATAAATTGGAAATCAGTAATGAAGATGAATTGCAGCTTGTTCATTGCAATATTCTCACTTCTTTACAGTTTATGGCAAGCTCGCCTTTGCCTGTTCTTCTGTCTGTACTATCCTGTACTACCTGAAAAAGCATCTAAGAGAGTTTGGTCAGGTTTGGATGGGTCGAGCATAGAGTAAGATCAACAAAGTGCGTGTGGGCATAACGGAGATGACTGCAGAATGGGAGGCGCCAGGGGAGCAAGAATCGTCATCTCTCTGATTTCTGACAAAAAACGCCAGCTGCTAAAAACAAATGAGCAACGGTTAGGAACTGACCAACAAATGAGAAGAAGGAGACCTACTTGCAGTGGGTGAAACGCACTCAACATGAGCAGCATTCCCTTCAGAGAATCGTTACTCGCTTACACAAAAGCACAGTGTACACAAAAATCAGTTGCTGGATCAAGCAATGTCTGAGGTGCATTGTACACGCGTAAGTTTGGCGAAGCTCTTTTTATGAAGGGCAAAGCCTGTATCGAGAAGAGAAGTGTTTTTTGCGAAAATTTATACCGTTAGAGAATAACGCTCTGCAACCCGAAAACTAGTGTCAAAGGCTGTCGGGATAGAATGGTCGAACTGTAAGAGTAGCAGAGCTCACACTGAGGTGGGCTGAGCCAAGATCAAGCATCCATAAAAGTGGTCTGGTTAGCATCCACAAATTTATTCTAGAACCTGGTAAGAGGTGACACTCTGAAGAAGAAAGAGCGTTCAAAGCTTTGCGATGGGCGGGGCGTGTCAAGGTGGGCGGAGCTAACCTCAAAATCTCGCATTTCCTTCCACAAGTGTAATGAATTAGAATTGCTTTTTCCCTTTGCATCTTTTACGAAATCTTGCCTTGTCGTAGGAAATATCTGGAGAGGCTGAGTCAAGTTCTAAGTCATGTGTGGGTGGGACTAACGGCAAAATAAAGGTGTTAGGAATGTGTCAGCAATTGAAACGATGGAGTCGGATGCATGATGGATGGCGCTGCACTGTGTGTTACTTAAACTTTTTTCGCGTCGTAGGAGGCAGATCATAGTGGTAGAGCAAAGATGTATTTTGTAAAACCCTAATCGTTGGATATTGCCTTTGTAGTCTCCGCCGTGGAACGCCGGATTTACTTCGGAAATTTCTAGTTAACTGTGCAACTAAGTGTTCATTGACAGCCTCTGACTCCTCAGAGCTCTATTAGTCATTATCGAGCGGTGGTATAAGGTTGATCGGAAAGTCTAGATAGGGTTTTTGAGAAGGGCGGGATTTTTGATTTCGACCTATATGTACAACTTTTGGTAAACTTCATTGCAAAAGGTATATAAGGGCACGTGCGTCTACCTGAGCTTGAAAATGATGTCAATTTCACAAGGAAGGTATATAAGGGCTCGTGCGCCTACCTGAGTTGAACATGATGTCAATTTCTTAAGACTATCTTTTAAACATCATCTTCCATGAGTGGAGCCGGAGCACTGGAGCGACAGCAGTAGTACAAAACATCAACAGCCATCGGGATGGGACATCACTTCCATCGCTGATTCGCTCGCTTCAAGGAAGGATACAGAAACTCCGAAGACAGGCATCGGTGGGGACGCCCCCTCATTCTCGACACCGCCAGAGGATCCGGAATTGACACCCGCAGTCTTGCGACGAGACCTGGGTGTGCCCAATCGTCGGTCGCCTCCAGGCCCTCGGATGAAGTGCTGACTCGATGGTGACCTCATGTCTTGACCGGCAGCATGCAGTACACCCGGATATCCATTTGTCAGTCTCTCTTTCTTCCTCCACATTGCAAGGAGTTTCTGGAGGACCTAGTTACTGGTTATGAAAGCTGGATCCTCTACGACGCCAACAAGCACCGCGATGTCTGGTTCCAGCGAAGAGAACGGTTACTAACACAAGCGAAAGCCGCCCTCTATCCCAAGAAGTTTCTCCTTTGCTGCTCCTGGGATTTGAAAGGAACGCTGTACTACGGATTGCTCAAGGAAGGTCATACGGTCACCGCTCCCCACTACACTAGTCAGCTGTAGAAATTTGTGGAAGCCGTTCAAGAAAAACTGTCTAGACAAACTTTGTCCGCCCCCTCAATGATAGCGCTAGGCCTCAGATGGGTAAGGAGACCCGTGCAAAATTGGAGGAGCTCGGCTGGGACATGGTTCACATTAACACTAGTCACTTCACACTGCTCCCCCAGAAACCACTTGTTAGGGCCTCTCAAATCTTTTCTAGCAAAAAAACATTTCGCCGACTACGGTCACCTTGAACGAGTGGTCGAATACTTCTTTGATTCCCAATCTTTCAAGTTCTGGGAGAAGGGAAATCGCTGACCGGCCCGTCAGGTGGGGCAATGTTATAACTAATGATGGTTATTATATTGTTGATCAGTTTGCATTGTTTGCTGAGTTGTAAAATAAAACAGAAAAATATCTCAACCCTGTCAAGACTTTTCGGTCAACCTAATAGTATGTCAAATGGGACGGAGGTGGGTGTAGCGACAAGTTGCGCACTACCACACCCACAAGGTCAGGAGTTGAAGTCCTGGATCGGTATCCGCCTAGGCCAACCAAATCTCCCACCCCAACCAAATCTCCCACCACGCCCGGGTCGATTAGTTGATACCAGAATTGTCTAGGATGACAACACACAGACTTGTGTATCGTCTGGCCGCAAATCATAGTATATGCCTTATACGCATCCACTATGCCACTACGATCCTGGATAGAAGTCGAATGCGGGGCGCATCCTCCAGACGGGATTGATCAACGCCCAACACTTTATCCTTTTGGACTTTAACACACGATGGCCACTGGTTTGATCCCGGATAGATGTTCGCCTAGGCTAACCATGCCCATCATTGTACCAGATTAGTCTGGGAGATTAAAAGCGCTGATTTGTGTGCCAGCTGGACACCGCAAGTCACCGTAATGGTCACATAGCATTCAATACGCCCCTACGATTCTATGAAAACCGAATGCAGGGCGTATCTTCAATTTATAAAGTAAAAAAGCTCATTTCCCAACACTTATTCATCAATTTTTGAACGAAGCGAAATGAGGTGAAACGGTACTTATTGCATTTCAGCTGTTGATAAGGGCTCTAGCGCTTCTTCCTTTTACTTATTCAGTCACATAAAGATAACAGGACACATGTGTACATATCGGTGCACTAGCATATGCGTCTGCTCTAAAAAAATAAGTTCCAGAGCTGCATGCCAATGTTTCTGCAATGCACGTATTAATTGGTGCTCTGCTCTGCAAACTAAAATCTCTGACCACAGGGAAAATGGCATATCTCTACGTGCCTGTTCCCCGAAATCTGTCCTTTTGTAATAAGGCCTCGTCACTCTTTAGGGGCAGCAAAATACCGTAGTAATTGCTTTTTCAAAGTCAAAGTTCAGGATAACAACAATATCGAAGATTTTTTTAGTGGAAGGAATTCATGGCTTCTGAGACATGGTCTGGTCGAAAGGCAGCCAGCCCAAAGTAGGATTAGTGATAGATCAAGGTTGGCTTTCGGCCCCTACGTCGCTGAATACCCACAAGAAAAAGTGTGTTAAGCGGTTACGCAGTGACTGGTACCTCGTCTAAAAACCTCTTCACCTTCGTAACCTCGATTGACTTCAGAAATGATTGCTCCATAAAAGGTCTTACAGTATCACATCTGCTCACAATAGGTGAAAGTTGTCCTACTGTGGATTTGGAATGTATAAGAATAGAATGGTTGTCATGTTGGAGGTTAGAGGAGATGTCAGATGGTTTAAGCAGGAACTGCCTCACCTCGAGCATTTACAAAGTTGTCAAAGGCGGTAAATCTAATGTAAAAAGATCTCTACAACCTGGAAGAAAAAGTCCTGCAAATTGCAAAGAAGCTGCCACCTGCGGAACCCGATTCTTGGTCCCATGCCTATGAAGCGTCACGCTTACCTCTACTCCAAGCTGCCACTTCTGGTATGCCGGCGACCATGTCTTTTGTGCTTGCCCCCTGTTGAGCGCTCTCCGGAGACCACCTCCAAAACTTCGTTTAGAGAATCGTTTGGCAAATTTCAAGTGCAGATTTGAAATCAGCATCAAAAAATACGTCTAGCAGTGTTGGTCTCATTTCAAATGGCCACTTCGACTTGGGATCCTTCCCTTGTTAATTTCAACGCCGGTTAACTATTTCGCATCAAAACTTGTAACTACACTCAACCCAGTAAAGGCACATGAAATCTCCGCGAAGTTTGCAATCATGTAAGGTTGACCGTAGTAGATTTTTTCGTGGCCATATCATTGAATCCCGGATTGATACACGGCTCCGGCAATCAAACCTTACAGAGCCGGCTCATTGGTACCGGACTTGTCTGGGATTACAAAAGCACTGACTCGTACATCGGCTGGCCACCGCAAGTCATTGTTTAGGCCACCTACTCATTGAATACGCCACTTCGACCCGATCGACTCCATCCTTTCTCCTTCTATATATGAACTTGGATGTCTTAGTGCTGGGCAGTCTTCCGAATGGTAAAGGGAAGAATTCTAGTGTTTTAGTATTTTGAATCGGTGTGATCTGCATGAAAATGTAGGACTCACCCGCGAAACCAATCAATGTCGGTGAAGAACGAATTCATTGCTACGTTTTTTGCTAGCCCCTAAAATATGCCGTTGCTTGGTTTCTCAATGAATGTTACTGATAAAGAATTGATGACATTCTGCTGATATGTTCATGCCCTTGATGCTTGCCTGTTTTCTTTCAAGTTGTTTTGAATGAACTTGAGAGAATCTTCACTGTTCATACTTCCCACAGACAAAACTCCTCTACTTGAATAATGTTCTTAAGAATAAGCATTCTTTCTGTACACTTTAGTGAACCATGAGATGCTGTAAATTCATGGTATCTAAGCACACTCGCTTCTGCGCTTGCTGAAGTGTCGTAAGACAGATTCGAGCGAGCTATAATGTCTTTTGCCGTTGATCAATCCCGTTTTAGGATGCGCCAACTTGTTCAGCCTTCATTCAGAGTTGTGGTTCCGATTACATACGTATGTGGTCTACACGAGGGCTCGCTGCACCGGCTTTTTTAACTTTCCAAACGTAAAGGGTACCAACTTACCGAGCTCGGTTGGCCTCGCTTTAAGTGGGCCGGACAAGATGGATACGGAAGCAGTGAAGCCTTACACAAGTAATGCGGAATAGTTTATATTTACATATCGAACAAGTTTAAATGTAGTTCCGAGACCCAGAGAGGTAAACTTTCGAGTACTCGCAGAGCAGTTATGTTAGGTAGCCGACAAGTTCGTTTCATCGGGGTGTTCGCAAAAGAATAGTACTGCAATAAGGAAATCCTTTTGACTTTGGGTTCACAGCTTTCAAAGGTACAGTTTACGATGATCTTGGAACGTCTAGTTTCGGACGAATGAAACCGAGGTATGAAAAAATATACAAGGCTTCAAAAAAGTAGTGAAATCAGTGATTGGACGAGAATGTGACGACAAAAGTTGCATGGAAGGAGTATTCGGACGAGCTGTCCAAATGTGTGTGTCATTGGGTACAGCTGACTTCACTAAGCTGCCTGCACGGAAGGTGTATGAGTACATTCGTGCGTCAGAGGGTGCACGCGGCAAATTGCGAAAAATAGGATCAGCTGACCATATTAAACTACTCTACTTCAAATTTGGGCCCAGATGGTAGGCGCCAGGGTCGTTCGAACCGCCACGCATTTCACCGCACAATTTGCTGCGCGCATCCTTGAACGCACGTAAGTTCCGTACCCCTCGCGAAAGTGTGCGTTCCGGTGCAAATAATGCAACATCCTACGCCCACAAAACGCCGTGAAAACTCGTCCTCCCTTGAGTGTGTACATCGGCTGTGCCGGTTTTGTTGCCCTTTTACGCACAATCTAATCTCAATTTTTGACCCGACAAGAGTCCCCTAAACTATCCTCGGGGGGCCTGGTTCTTCTTGGAGAGAAACCTCGAGAACAATTTTAATCGTGAAGTGTGTCTTTGGAACAATGCAGCAGCGGCGAAACCAACTTGAGTAGCTCTTTTGGCAGGACAGACACGGGGGGTAATACTTTGTTGCCCCTTTCCAGTAGAATGCTTTCTTTATGAAATTCTCCTGCATGACTTTATCCATCATGGAGAGGATCTAAATGAATTACTTGAGGATGGGAGTGAACGGAGCGACGAAACGAAGTGAAGGTACAGAGACTAGCCTTTTCAATGTCTACCGCTGGCGGTCGCGGACCATCACAAAATTTCCCTTTTGCTTGTTTTGTTCAACATCTCTGATGCTGGTTCCACTCAGAAGAACGGTTACTTTCCTGTTGTACATAAAGAAATGCTTTTGAAACAACTGTAGTGACGAAGTTTGTACGTATTCCTTGTTCTCTTTTGTAGCTAAAAACCAGGTGTTGTTAGAGGTTTCTATCATGTCTACATAGACTTTCTTCATTGATTCCCTTCACATTGTGTCCAGGATCCCTCGTGTTCGCTTGCCATGAGCATAAAAGTCCAGTGCCCTTCTTATCGAGAGAGTCGCCGATCCTTTCAGCGCATTCCCAAGCGATCACAGTGTTGCTACCGTCCCTTGTAGTTTGATGTTGTACAAGGTCGTTCTCTGACGTCTTCATTTCCAACGCCTCCAGCCGGCATTGGGCACAGATTTAACACAACACCCAGTCGTCAGCAGACTGAAGGGCCCTTCCTGTGGGATTCCTGTCCACTGGACCTCATCAACTGTTGCTTAATGGCGAGGACCCTGCCATTGCCCATTGTACAGTGCTTTTAACGGTATTCAAAGGTCCCGTCGATGGCGAAGTACGTATAGACTTAATCGGCCTGAACGTTTCTGCTGTTACACCTTTGCACAAGTTCTCTCCTATCCGTTATCAGGGCCATGTTTCAGAGTAGAGGATGATCTTGTATAATAAGTTATCAAGGTTTTTTGAGGCGTAAGATGGCTGGCTGGGAACCTTGGTTGTGAATTCCTATTGAAGTATTCGGGCAGATTGGATCCTCCCATTGAGGAAAAGAGATAACATCAAGGAATTGGTCTGACTGGATCACATGAAATTAATAAAATGCGAACAGGTTTGTTTAGCTAATTGTAGCATGTAGCTGATACCAATCTTCATCCAACGATACAGTAGGAAGCGGTAGAATAACAATCAAGAGTTCACGACAGATTTGAGGCTTCTAGTTTAAGACGGGCAATGGTAGTCGTAGTTGAATATTAGAGAGGGGATAGCGAAGAATGCATAGTGTAGTATAAGGTGGAAAAAGTTGCATGGAAAGGCTATCCGGAAGAGCTGTCCAAATCGTATGTGCCATTGCATACTTTCCTACACTAAGCTGCAGGTGTGTTGCGATTCGTGCGATTCTGGGTGCGCGCGACAAATTGTGCGGCGAATTCCGGGGCGATTTGGACGACTGCAACGTTTATCATTTGGGCCCAAATTTGAAGCAAAGTAGGTTAGTAGGATTGTCCGACCCTACTAAAGAACTCTACTTCAAGTTTGAGCCCCAATGATAGATGCCAGAGTTGTTTGAATCATCGCGTATTTCGCCGCACAACTTGCCGCGCGCACCCAGAATCGCACGAATCGTCCGTCCCCATTAAGCTTCCTGCTCGCAGCGAGTGCATCCTAGAGCCAAAAACGCAACTTCTACATACAACCTCTACAACATCTTGAAAACCAAGTCGCATTCAGAAATGAAGGTCCTTCGAGCCGGTTCTGGGTCCTTTTACGCAGAATCTAAGCCGTTTTTGATCCTAAAGCGTTCCTTGTGCCATCCATTGAGGTCCCATGTTCAACTTATGAAGAAATCTCAGAATCCATGGCAGTACTGTGAATACTTTCTTTTTTGACTGATAAAATAGTTGTAAGACATGAAATATAATGTTAATGTATTTTTCTCTTTGACATGAGGAAACCTGCTTTCACGAAATCCGCCATGTGGCCTTCAAAATACAGCTAGACAGGATGTTTGGCGTCTATAATCAACAGTAATTTAACCCAATGGTAGAGTGGCCAGAGCGGAAACGATGAACTGGAAGGTGGCACTAGTTGTGTCGCTCTTTTCCCGAGGTTATGCCAACTTATGTGGTATCAAATGGAGCTCCCGGACTAATCAACCCAACACTTCTCCTCTAAACGGCTTTTTTCTGCCTTTTAACGACTCATAAAATCGTTTAGAAAAAAGAAGCAGAATTTTTCCCAGCACATTTCCGTCACTCTTATAATTTTACGGGGGTAAGAATGAGTGGTGCTGAGGGGAATAAATAAACAGCATTTGGACTGTGATGAGGTAAATTACTTTTTAAACGATTACTCGACGGTGTGAGTGTTACAGGGAATTTATCCCGAGCTTGTGGGAGAGGGGGAAGCAGTTAAGCTCTAAGCTCTAACGTTTCATCCGCTCTGGCGAGGTCCATCAAAATCCTAAGACCGTTTTGAGCGATTGTCCCATCGCCTAAAACATGAGACGAGGCGGGATGCACTAGCATTTGTTAGTGGCAGTACCTCATCCCGAGTTTGTCTTGACTTTGACTGTGTTCTTTTTTGAGAAATTTCGCGTCGTTACTGAGATTGTTTCGTCTTGGACCTCTCTTCTCCTGTTCATCATTTCTTTCTCATAACCTAAGTTTTTTTAGGGGAAATGCGATTTATGCTACATTTATTGCTCTTGGTGAGCTATGTCGCGGCAGGCAGCATTTACCAGACTCCGCTCATAAAGATAGAAAGTATGCGAATGGAAATGATCAGAAAAGGAACATGGGCCGAATACGTGAAGAAAAAGAATGCTATGCGGGCGTCTCTGGTTAGCAATGCCAAACAAACTGTTTATCCTCATCGAGTAAGTACCGCTAGTTAATCTGTTATTCTCTTCGTTAAGCAATCCCACATTAACCCATTAACGACAGGATGGTGCGCCGGCGGGCCACACCATATCGTGCTCCTGTAGTATTAATATTATTTATCAAGTGTTCGTATAATTTTTTCATGTTTTAAGTATCAGCTGAACTCACAGCCTTCTAGAGAATCTCGAGGCACTGTGGCACAGGAAGGTTATAAAAGAAATTCAAAGTTAATGTAAGGACAGAGTAAAGGCGCGGTCGCCAATGTGTTAAAACATCTCGGGCTGTCCATGTGATAAATACAGATTGCTATCAAAGAGAAAGAACCGGTTGCTGGTGAGTAAGCAACACAATACCGGAACCATCTCTAAGCCGATGCTTTTTTAGCTGTGATCAGAAGTTCACGGAATCATTGAGAAGATTGTAACAAGATGCTTTTATCATTGACTGTAACGAGCAGCTTCCTTCATCAATACATAGATTACGATGTGAAGCACCATAGTACGACACCGGAGAAAGGATGAAAGAATCCGCATTGGATTGGTGTTTCCTTTGAAAATGGGTTCATGCACATGGTAGAAGAACTCATTCACCCAGACCTGACGTGGGTATATTGACGTAACAGGTGATGCGGTGTCTCTCCACTAGTCTTCTGGCGTCAATCGATCCGGATCCAGAGTACGCCCTTCAATCACTTCTAATCAAAACCTCAGTTGACTTTACATGTGGCCTTTACAACCACATGCAGTAGCTAACTGATGAACAAATCTTCGTTTTTACCCCAAAGACGCGTCTGGGCTTACCAGCAGAGTCGAGGGATGGAAGGCTCCGTTGACCTGAGTTCAGGATGCGTCCTCTGGCGTGGGTATATCATAAGGTACGCTACCTACTTTTACACTAAGGATACCAGTGGTCTGTCCTGCCACCTTGGTTCCCTTTCTCCCCATTCCAGTATATAAGTAACTACATAGCTTCGCCTTTTTTGGCAATATAATGAATTGAATTTATATCTTCTGGATAAAACAATTCCGCGGTGGCAGGACATACGTAGCTATGGGCACGCTTTAAATCAGTTGCTGCTTACTTGTAACTGTCTCACAGCTGCCCCCTTTGAAGCTTTGAAATTCAATACTTAAGTTGTATCTTCAGCTTTCGTGATAAAAGGAAAAGCCGATGGTTTCAGCTTTACGACTATCAAGATACTGAGTACCTAGCCGAAATCACCGTCGGAACACCTGCACAAAGTTTTCAGGTATGTTCAGTGCATCGTCTGATCAGGTATGAACCATTCAAACGGTTCTAACAACTTTTCCAATAAGAATGCAAAAAAGGAGAGCAAAACAGTGCGCATTACCGACTGCCACGAAAGAGAAACCTTATGTTGGACGGGAAAGAAGTACTTGTTCATCGAGAGCTATTCGCAATCATTTACTAAACCTTTTTTTAGGTTGTTCTAGATACTGGCAGTGCAAACTTATGGATACCTGACAATATATGTGTGAATGGTCGAAGATGGGATTGCAGAATAACCGTCTGTGATAGAGGATGTAAGTGTTCATGATGATCATGAGGATAAACTTTTGGCGTTGCTCAATTCTGTTTTCGAGATGCCCCTTCCCTCTCCCTCGTGCTTCACTTCCATTCAGAATCATAGTGATCATGGAATGCTTGGATTATCTATGATGATGCGGTGTCAAGCCGCGATGGGAGTCAGATGGTCGGTGGTTTTATCCTCGCTGACGAGTCTGGTGCTAATAAACCGACCCCAAAGGGAGGGAAGGCCAGGCTGCACTGAACGGGTATCTACCAGGAATTTGAACCCGCGGTCAGCGTGTCTGTCAAAGGATACGGATAAAGTCTTGGGGCATCAATCCAGTCTGAGGGATGCGCCCACGCATATGACTTCCATTCAGAATCGTAGTGGCGTATTGAATGCGTACAGTACCAGCCGTGAAAACTCAAAAATCCACGCGAATCCCGCGAGTTCGTGTCTTTTTTTGCCTTTTCTTGATGAATCGCTTCAGAATGAAGAATCCCAGAAGTCAATATACCGTTGAACTCAGCTCGTCGAGCTCTCTAAGATGATTCCCCAAAACCTTGAAAGTGCTTCGTTTTGGATTGCGCCATGCACTTGAGTTCCATCTGAAAATTAATTGCATGTACATGGACGGGGTACTGTAGTTGCGGGAAGATGGGGCAGTTTGAGTGGAAGTTTGGGGCTGTCTGAAGGAGACGGGCCCGAAAGGGTGGGTCATTTGAATCTTATTTCTACAACCCCTCTTCCTTTCACGATTCAAATCTCCCGCCCTTTACCCCTACAGTACCTCGCCTCCTGCAAATCTTATCCTCCTATTCAAATAATCTCATTCAAACTCGCCCTCCTCCTCACTTCTCACCACCCTCCCTTCAGACAGCCTCAAAACTCCCACTCGAATTGCCTCACTTTCCCGCCACTACAGTACTCCGTTCCTGTAGATCTTACCATCCACTCGAATAATCGTCATTCAACCCCTTCAGTACCCCGCCACCAGCAGATCTAACCCCCAATTCGAATAATCATCTTTCGAAAGCCTCCAAATTTACGGCACCACAGTACCCGGCGACATGGGTATTCCAGCACGCCCAGCAGGAAACCGCTCAGCGCCAAGCGTAGAGCAGAAAATGGTTATTAAGGGGCGATTTCATCATAGTTTTTCCATCATATATCATTCAATAGTATTTTTACGAGGAATTTAACTGTGTTCAACTTAGCTGCAAAAAGGCCAAGTAAATGGAAAAAAAACAAATTTATTATTCGGGCCTGACGAAGTTTGAAGTTTGGGGCCATACCAAGGGAGAAATTTTGAATGCAGAAAACAAAGATTTGTCTACGACAATACAGTGCCTCAACGCCATCTTCTCAGATCTCGTAGAAAAACCTCCTCCAAATTTTAGAGAATGTCAAAACATAATCAACTCAATTATTTTGCCGCGAAATGGGGTCATATTTCCAATGGAATTCGTAAGAAGGAGTGTTGAGTGCAGAGGCTGTAGATGCAGTCGTCAGAAATGAACAATGGAGACTGAATAAAATCGACCAATAATTTTCACATTGTACTGAGTCAAGTGGAGCGCGTGGCACACTCCTAAGCGAATTCTGAATACTACGTCGTGAAGGACCAATCAGCCACTTCAAACGCTTAAGCGTGCACCCCATGTACATGCAATTAATTCTCAGATGGAACTGAAGTGCATGGCGCGATCCAAAACGGATCATTTTCAATACTTCAGGGAACCATCATATAGAGCTCGACGAGCTGAGTTAAACGGTATATTTACCTCCTGGGATACTCTATTCTGAACCGGTTTATGAAGAAAAGACGAAAAAGACGCGAGCTAGCGACACCCACACACCTGTTGTGATAAGAACAAATACAAGTAATGTAATGAATTGGTTCCAGTGGTTTGTGAAGTGCTCTGCCCGGATAAGACATGTTGCGAAGATGATGTTGATAACCCAGACGAAGAAAATCCTTGCAAAGGCAAGAATGGCTTCGATTCGACAAAATCAACTTCATATGTAAAGATTACTCCCAAAACTCCTTTCGATATTGTTGTGAGTTTTTGTTCTGTGTTGAGGCTACACTTTGGACCAAAAAATCGTGTCGTTGTCTGGTACTTGTGGTCTATATGTATTTATAAATAATTGTATATCATTATTACTGCTGCATCCCTCTTTCATTCATATCTTATTCACAATTAACACCGAACCACATTACTGCCATTCTGATGCAGCTGATTTTTCAGTACGGGACGGGATTCGCAAAAGGATTCCTCGGTAACGATACCGTACGATTCGGTAAAGAAGGTGATGATAGTACTTTGGTTGTGCCTGGTACGGTATTTGGCCAGGCAGTACAGATCGGTGATCAGTTCGCAAACGTAAGAGCTCTTTCTATTATTTAACTGTTTCCTTATGCAAGAATCCCTTCAAGATCCGTTGTGCGGATCAATAAATCGATTGTTTCAATTTGATGAGGAAGACAACACTTAAGTGATGTTTGAGCTGCAAATTTAATCTCTTCATTTTTCTACGGACCCTTTTCACGTGCAGATTTTAGAATCCTATCAATGGCATCCTTGGATTAGGATTTCAAAGACTTGCACAAGCCAGAGTGGTCCCTCCTCTACAAAGAGCTATCGATTTGAAGTTAGTGGAACCAGTTTTCACCGTTTACATGAAGCAATTGGGAGGTAAGGTTGAGTGAAATCCAAGGAAACTCGAGATGGAGCTGAGCCCATTTAGCGACGGCAAAGGGAGAAGATGGAGGCGCCTTCACATACGGTGGTCTCGACTCAGTAAACTGTGGACAGGAGATTGCATACGTGGATCTCACGAGGCCGTTGTATTGGCAGTTCAAAGTAAGGATCCTGTTTGAGACCGAATAAAATCGCCTTGTATTTTGTGTTATTGCTTCTTTCAATTTCAGATGGAAGCGTTCAGTGCAGGATATTTGAGTATTAGAAAGGGTTGGGAAGTGATCTCCGATACTGGTACGTCGTTCATGGGTGTTCCAACAGCAATTGCAGATTTGGTAGCGGATTCCTACGGAGGTCAAGTGAGTTGTTGACCTTTTATGAGCTTTGTAGTCCTAGTACTAATCATACCATCATGATCATTTCGAAGCTGGGCTTTTGCTAAACTATGCTTTCTTTTAGTACGACGAGATGTTCGAGATCTATACAGTCGACTGCAATGCAACAGTGACGTTCGAAATGACTATAGGCGGAAAACAGTACAAGATCGAAAAAAAGAATCTTGTTCTTGAAGAAGACAAGGACTCGTGCATGATAGCAATGACTCCATTAAGTTCTGTTGGGTTTGGGCCACAATGGATTCTTGGTGCTCCTTTCATTCGCCAGTACTGTAACATTCATGACATCGGAAGGAAGAGGATTGGTTTCGTGGAGCCACTCAAGAAATAATTATTCTAAGTGCTCTGATTAGAAAGCTCATAAATTAATTGCACTTTGACTTGATTCAGAATATTTTTTTTGCAAATTCCTGTCTGCAAACTACACGTTGCGGTTGCTCACAATGAAGAGTACAAGAATTCTGAGAATGTTTCTTTACTGGTAACTTACTGCTATGATTGTCATCGCATGACTAGGAGTAAGGAGAAATGTTTAGTTACTGAATTAGTTTGCTGTGATTTGGAGACATTGAAAAGCCATAATAGACCATCAAACACTATACATAGACTCAGGGGCTTCGCAGGCAATTTCAGTCTGAATGGATTGCCCTTCAACACCCTGAAAGGGGAGAAACAGGTTAAGTTCCAGCGGTCATCACAAATTCGCAAGATGTATTCAGCCCACCTGACCTTTATTTCCTTGATGAAAGTAACGACGTCTCAAACGGCACATAATCTGATAATACTGCCTTGTTCTTTCTCTCGAATCTAATTAACCAATTTTGTTTCACGAGGCAAACCAGACGACATTTGGATCAGTTGAATCAAGTTGTACAGACCTACAGGCCTGTAACTAATGAAGTGGTTTCCCATAAAACTTACAATTAGGCCAACACACTAGCAGGTAAGAGCTTTATGAATAAGAGCGCTCTTCATGCGAGNAGCGGTCATCACAAATTCGCAAGATGTATTTAGCCCACCTGACCTTTATTTCCTTGATGAAAGTAACGACGTCTCAAACGGCACATAATCTGATAATACTGCCTTGCTCTTTCTCTCGAATCTAATTAACCAATTCTGTTTCACGAGGCAAACCAGACGACATTTGGATCACTTGAAACAAGTTATACAGACCTACAGGCCTGTAACTAATGAAGTGGTTTCCCATAAAACTTACAATTAGGCCAACACACTAGCAGGTAAGAGCTTTATGAATAAGAGCGCTCTTCATGCGAGGGATCCACACTCTTTCAGCAGGAAGGTAAAGGTGTGTTACTTGACGAGAACACTGAACCATCCATTTGCTCCACATTGATTGAGATGTTATGTATAATACCAAGACGATGATTTTTGTCATTCTCTCAAGTGAATGGACTTCATAGCAAGAAGAAAACCTACATGGTCACATTCCTACAAACAGAGAAACAACTCCCACATGGTGTTAGCTTCCATTTCTTAGGAGGAGCTTTGAAAATCACTTTTATGCTAGATGTTTTGAATTATAGTTATTGAAATTCTATCAGGTAAACCTGAGGGCCATATGAATACAGCAGTACAACGGAAGTAGTGTGAACTCAAGCAAACAATTACACTACACTTAGTTCAACAGGCGCATATTGTTTGCCTTTAAACCACTGACTGAATTACTGATAAAATTCCTTTGACGCGATGAGTATATATAGTTAATCATGTGTGACGAGATGCTATCACATCATTAGTTCCTGGGATTCCTTTTCATGTCTGTTCCTTTCTAGCTACTGTATCTAAATCATTTCCTTACCAAGTATGAGAGGACCTCTAGGGAAAAGAAATTCATTGCCTTCAGATGGACGTCGCATGCCCGCTTGTTTTTTTTTCATAGTCTTTGCAATGCTTGTCCAATTCCTATATATGATCGAATGACTCTCCTTCCAAGGTGTTTTGCATTCAATCATTACAACTCAACTAGCTCATATGTATAATGCAGCACTCGCTAGGAAGGAGATCGTGTAGTGGCAAGTGGCTTCAACCATGCAGGCATGGTCAGCGGATCGGATCCCGGCTCGGTTCTTGCCCATGTCGTATATTACTCTACGGTCTGTTAATTGGTCATACCTGTCTGGGCGGATAAAAGCACTGAATTTTACATAGGCTGGCCACCGCAATTCGTTGTATAGACCCCATACGCATTAATACGCCACTACGATGCGATCCTTATTCCGCCTTGACATCAAATGAAATAATAGATGACCCCTTATTGAAAAAAAATCATTTATATCATTCTGTTCGGGCTTCATGTTGCCGTTCATTCCATTTGAAGAGGTCTGCTTAGCATTTTACACCACTTGAAGAGACATGCTTGGTGTTTTACGTTGTTCGTACTCCTCACGACGAGAGTTTGATTAGTTCAATGTCCTTGCTATGAACTTCAGTGCCACAACTTCCCACTATCAATGGACAGTGCAAAATTAGGTTGATAACAAACGACTGAAAGAAAGCACAACAGCAAAAAAGAGAAAATAAACACTGATTTGTCATGATAGACCCTAACAAAGGCATTTCTCTAAAAGCGAAGTCAACAAGGGTTACATAGAAATGAAAATATCACTAAAAATCACTTTGGACTACTAGCTGACACTGCAATCTAAGATTGGTATCAAATTCTGAATAAAACCTCACGAGTTGCCAAAACCCTACCTAGAGCTGCAGATAGAAAAGTGAAAAATGTTGCAGAATCATGAGAATGTGGCTCGGCCTTCTACTTCTCGTAGTGGGCACATCGGCTACCGTATACCAAATGCATCTTACACGAATTGAGTCGAAGCGGATGCGATTGATGCGAGAAGGTCAGTGGCAACGACATCTACAGCGAAGGAATATGAGACGATCGGTAACACTTCGTCGTTTCGACAGTGACAGCATTTACCAGCACAGTGTGAGCAAATCGACTGCTTTCTTCCTTTGCATTTATTAATTCAGTTACAGTAACTCATGGAACTCCTCTGCAAGTTGCTATCAAGCTATCCAGTTTGTTTTCAAGGTAAACGATTACGACGATGCCGAGTATCTGGGCACAATTACTGTTGGAACGCCGGAGCAGGCATTCAAAGTTCGTGGAAGCATTCAATTAGCATTCAATTTCTTAAAAAGCCTTTTCTGGTGCTCTGATGTCTGTAAAGGCAGAAATCGTAGCATTCGCTTCTGTGGAATTCCACGCAGTCGTCGTTCACGTCATATAGCGAGAGTAGCTTATTCAGGTGATTCTGGACACGGGTTCGGCCAATCTCTGGGTCCCTGATGTATCGTGCACCCAACTGAAGGATCAGCTTCTGAAATCACAATTTGCTATAAAAGGTGAGTAATTGACGACTCCCTATCTCGTGGGAATTTTTCGTCCTCCTTTACCTTTTTAATAAACAAGTCATAGAAGGGCGTGGTAAAACAGACCCAGTTCAATTAGGAAGCTAGTAAACAAAAACTAAACTATCAGCATTTTTCCACACTTATGCTTACTGTCCTACTTCTTTCACCTTCTTCTATCACAACTTTCCTTGCTGAATCCCGTATAGTTGGTGATCAGTGATTGCTGGTTCTTTGAGATTTTTCCTAAACATCGAGCTTATACCAAACTGCTCAAATTCCCCCTTCCCGACCACCTTTACCCATTGGTGAGCGCGTACTGTCCTTACTAATCTGAACTTTGGAAGCAAGAGACCACACTATACATACATGTGAATGCGTTTGCCTTTTTCCAAGCAAATTAAAGTGGCAACAAGTCAAACTTCAATAGAATAAAAAAACCATTCCAAGTATTGTTATCAAGTGTTTATAGCTAGGAGCCCAAGCCCGTGCGATGGCAAAGACATATTCAACTCGTCCAGCTCGCAGTCTTACATTAAAACTGGAGGAAAGTGGCAGATTCAGGTAACCTCTGACTTGATTTACCTTATAGCTTTTCCTACTTTCTTATGCGCCTGTAATCCCTCTTCTAAATCTTACAAATGTAATGACGGCTGCTTGGGTGAAAAGCTTGAGCTGCAGATGAAAAAAGAGCTCCAAACAAGTATGAGTTTTCTAAAACGCTGAATTTTCGAATAAAGTATCACACAGTTTTAGTATGGCACCGGAGACGCTAGTGGTTATTTTGGAAACGACACAGTACGATTCGGCGCTCCTGGAACGAGGCAGCTAGTCGTACCCGGTACCGTATTCGGTCAGGCATCGACAATTGCCGAGTTTTTTGCTGATGTAAGATGATTTTTCTGATGATTATTGTACAGCACCTTTTGTAGTACTGTTCAGAATCCAATCAGCGGTATCCTTGGTATGGGTTTCAAAGAGCTTGCTGTCGAAGGAGTCAATCCACCATTTCAACGAGCAGTCGATCTCGGTTTGGTGAACAAGCCAATATTTACAGTATTCCTGGAACGGAAAGGAGGTTCTAGTTTTGTGTATTTCCTGAAAACAATTTCATATGAGAGACTTGCACCGAGGTTCTTCCACTAGCAGCACTAACAGTGATTTCCAAATCTGCGGCTGCTCTCTAGTCCAAAGCGAGATTTTCTGACACCATTGATGATGGTGAATGAAAGCTTTGTGATGTGGTCGTATTACTATCAAATTACTTAAAAAAATTCAGATAGTATAACTTTTGTAGTAGGCTGTACAGTTCCAAAGAGTTGCTTTAGTCAGCTTTCATTGAAAATTTAACGGCTCTGTTAAGCTGTTCAAAGCTGCACGTTTTATTTTAGAACAGACTGATGTCCCTGGAGGAGTTTATACTTACGGCGACATCGACACAACTAACTGTGGGCCAGTGATCGATTATCAGCCATTGATATCAGCTAATTACTGGCAATTCAAGGTTTGCTGTACACCATACCGAGTTGATTGAATGGATATTCAAAGTGTCCTTTTTGATTTAGGTGTTATAAAAACTTGGTAGAAGGTGGTGTGTTAGCAAAAATTGCACTTTTACAAAAGCATGGTCGGGTGATCGTATCCAGAACTGAAAGTAGGTTAACCTAGCCTTCCATTCCTCCGGAGTATATACATGGGTATCAGGCTCGTCCGAGAGGATAAAAACACTGGCTAGCATAACGGCACACGGATCCGGCTGTACGGCTCTTGCCTTCTCAAAACTCCACAACAGTCTCTGTCGAATGCTATCACGTTCTGTCACCTATCACCGGCGTTTTCACACTCTCAAATGAATCTTGTGGATGGAAACTTAAAGCTTGAGGTCCAGAGCCCAGAGGGAGGAGGGGGCAGGGGGGAGGGGAAGGCAAGTGCAAGATGCATGAACTCCATATCAAACACACACCGACACATACACATACCAAAGGTTAAAAAATGAAAGATGGGATTGATGTCTGAGGCGTCTTTACAGAAACATTTCCATGTTCCCATTGAAAGAAGCGTTTTGAAAGCTGTCAATGTTTCTAAATACGTCAGATCTATCAGACTACTATCTCTGCTAAGTTTAGTTATCTAATAGCTTGACACTTCCTGATAGCTGATCAGGAGCTCCAAGAGATGTCTAGTCTTCAGATAACTAAATCCAGCATTGCAAAATTCGATAGATCTGACCTATTCAGAAATTTTGGAAACTTCTAAAACGTTCCCTTCACAGTTGATAATTCATATACGAGGTCTTAGCCGCCAATGAGGTGACGGTCTGAGATTGCGGTCTGTCTTCTGGGTTATTAGCAGAAATTTGCTAACTTACAGATGTCTGGATTTGTCAGTGGGAAGTTGACGTCGAACAAAGGATGGCGAGTAATCTCTGACACGGGTACATCGTTGATCGCAGCCCCTCGTGCACTGGCTGAACATATCGCAAAAGTGAATGGTGCTAAGGTAATGCCATTTCCAGTACAAGTGCTCTCAATTACCATAAGTGCAAATATTTTGCAGTTCGATCCGATGAATGATGTCTATCTCATCGATTGTGGTAGTAAACCTACTCTTGAGCTACTTATTGGTAATAAAAAATACAAAATCCAGTCTGAGAATCTTGTCGTACCGGCGGGTAATGGCCGATGTATGCTGGCCGTGTTTGGCATACCAAGTCAAGGTTTTGGACCAGAATGGATTCTTGGTGATCCATTCATTCGTCAGTTCTGTAATATTTACGACGTCGGACAGAAGCGTATCGGTTTCGCTAAATCGATTCCTAAATAGTTTGTCCGTCAGAAGAATCTCGAACAAAGATACTCGCTGTTATATTCAATTCTGTTGGCGATAGTCGTTTGAAATAAAAAAAGAAATGAATAAATTACTTCTTGTTTTTTCTTTTCCTCATCTACGGCCTTGCTCCTATAAGGTTTTTGGCTTTAATAAAGCATACTATTTAAATAACATCGTGAACAGGATGACCCACATGACGAAGTGTGACGCAGAAAAATNTACACAATAATCACAAAATTGTGAACAGCATATCACATCTCGCATGCAGAATAACCATCTTTCGCTTCAATGCAAGCATCCAACCTCTTTCCGAAATTTTCAAGAATGCGCGCAATCACTTTCATCCCATGCTTCTACAAGAGACTTTCTTTCAGAAGTTCTTAAGACCTGTGTTTGGAAACGCAGGTTTTTTGCTCTAGAATCGACTAAACAGCAAAATCCAAAGGATTGAGATCGGGGAATTTGAAGGTCAAAACTGCTTCGCACCAAAAACCCGGAAGCGTGGTTTCACAAAATTGCAGCATCTTCTTTGTGCTGTGGGCTGGTGCCCAATCCTGTGGAAGGTTCGGCTGACGTTAGCGTTCCTTTCCACCCAAGCGATCACCGCTTCCTCCAGCCCAGAAGTCTATAAGTTGATTTTTTTATTGACCGTCACACTTCATGTGGGTCACCCTGTAGAGCTCAATGGAATTCAGTGGCTATATTTTTTGCCCGATTCCCGACTCTTCCTCTCACCCATGCTGCAGTTCTTTGCAGTTCGCACCCACTAACAATAACTATTCATCATTAATCATCCGATCACTCTCACTGTTAACAATCCAATCATTCGAAGAAGGCTTACCTTTGACGACACCAAAAGAAAGTAGGCGCTCGAATTCTACTCTCGAATGAGTTTCTGATTATGTAGATCCTAACTGTCAGTCTCTTTTTTTATTGTGTGAATGTGGCGGCTTATGGCGCCCACTACCATTCTTATCATCAGGGGATCGAATTCTGGATCGACACTCGCTCATGCCAATTCGGACTGCGCCCATTCGGAGACCGACCAATTTGTACCAGACTTGTTTACAAGCATAAAAGCACCGACTTGCACAACACTTTTGACCACAAGTTACAGTATAGGCCACATGACGTTCAAAACGCTACTCACGGTTTTAAGTGAAAGTCGAACACGGATAAAAAGGCAAGCTGAACAAAAGGGGAGGATCTAAAGACTCGCCGTACTAATGCACCTGCTCGAAAAACCTCTGAAACCAATAGCTATGAAGCAAAATGAATCACTCAAGTAGTATTCATTCACTGCTGCTGCTCCTCGGACCTGCCGGAAATTTAAGCGGGGCATGTGACCCTTCCAGCTGAAACTGAATATATTGGAGCAAACAGAATCCTTAAAAATAAAAAACTATACGTAAATAAGGTTCGCATCAAAAAACTCTGTGAGAAGCGCGCTGATCTAATTATATTAGGTTGACGCAAAATTATTGTAGATTTTTTCGCTGCTTCTTTCTATCGATATTATTCAAATTTTGGATTCGGGGTTTTCGTGAAATAACCCTCTTGCTTTTCTTGAAAGATAAGTCCAGAAAGCCATCTTGATATTCACCAAATTAAGCTCTATTACTTCGAGAAGGTTGGAAGGTGGTCGTGCCATAAAAAGATGTCAACGAAATTCTCGGCGATGGAACAGTCAGCAACAGCCAAGTAAAGATGGGATCTGCTTATGAATCCGCCATATTAATCGACAAAATCTCCTCAGGACTATTACGTCAACCGTTCGCTGAAAAATTGGCTATCGAACAGAACATTTGCTGAAATGGATGGCTTGATAGCTCATGTCAAGGTGTGGATCCAAGAATCGAAACTTCTTCGCTTGTGGAATCCGACCGCCTAGCAAATGGGAAGCACTGCTTGACGTTGATGGTGGATACGTTCCGGAGCAATTATTTGAACACTTCTTTGTTAGATATCTTAACCGTTTTCTAAAATAGAATTTATTGAAAGGATCCACAATAATTATGCATCAACCTAATAGTTTGACACTCATGGAGCTATCGTTTGAGGCTCCTATATGTTGCTGTCCCAACCCATTTCCATTTCTTAGTTGAATGGTCAGTTTCCCTCCATGTTTTTGGTTTACATAACCTCCGTTGCAACCTCAACCTCTGTTGTATGGGAGTCATCGTTTTGGTTTTTTACAACGAAAGTGTGATAAAACAGTCACCTAAAAAATCGTACTTTGCTGATAAGGATCGAAAACACACACACTCTGAAGAGTTCGATATGAGTGTAAAGGAACGTCTGACAGCTTAATAACATCATGACGACATCTGTGATATCTGTAAATTTGAAAAATTCTCAAACTTCGATTGTTTCCTCCGGTTTTCCATGAAACCACCTCAATGGTTCTACTTGTGTATCGTATTTAATGAAATAACCGTTCGCGTTAAGCAAGAATTGAAAAGGCTTAAGCTAACTCTTGTCTTCTGTGGAGCTACAGTCTCTGCTTCTCTTCTCGATCATTTTCTCCCAAAAATGTTTGAGCCAGTCTCAACTCATCCTGCTAGTGAACAAGCAATAATGATGTCTATATTTAGAATGATGCTATTGGTTCTAACAGCACTATCGGGCTTGGCCCTAGCCGGTGTGTACCAAGTCCCGCTGAGGAAAATCGAATCGAAAAGAAGTAGGTTGATCCGCGAAGGAACCTGGGCTCACCATGTTCATATGAAGAACGCTGCTCGCATTCATATGCTAGAGAGTGGAATCTACGAGCGAAGAGTTGGTTCCTCCCTGTTGACCTTTATCTTATTGCTGAAAGATTGACCATATTCCAGAAATTTATTCTCCTGCTGTTAAGGTTAATGATTATGACGACGTTGAATATATTGGAAACATAACAATTGGAACACCGGAACAAGAATTCAGAGTTTGTTGCTCACAGATTTTCTATATTATTTTCTATCGTATTTATATGATTTCTGTCGTTTGATATTTCTGTCATTCGAGGTATGCCATCTCTATCTATTCACGAAAGTAGAATCCCTCAGTGGTCCTTTGTAAACAACTAAGCAAAAGCAACTTAGAAGGTTGAAGGGAGGACTGACTGAAAACACGACACCGTTGTTCAGTTGCTGATGGTAACGTTGCGAAACGATTCGTGCGTGCCCTTGTTTACTCATGGGTTCGTTGCCCTGGGAATGTTCCAGAAGTTTATCACCACTGCTGTCGGGTGCAAATTTTTGACACTTGAAATTTTTTGACGAAACACTTTCCTGCCGAAACAAAACATTGCATACATGAACAAGGTCGATTTTATTAGGGTAACTCACGTGCTGATAGAGGACCGTACCATCTCGCCTAACCTGAATTTTTGCAGAGATTGACTCATTTCCATTTCAGGCCATTTCACTCAAGGCCATCTTTTTAGTTTAGACCTACTGTTAGACAAAAGGTGCCTTGTGGAGCAACCATGTCCTGCTCTCGCTTAATCTTGGGAAGATACCTTCACGTCTAAGTATTCTTCTCTGAAGCCTAGGCCAAAATGTTATAATTTTTACCGCGAAATATTGTGTTTTAAGTAAATTTAAGATTCTTATCGACGTTTACTGTAGTATAAAGATGGAAACGCTCCAGGTGGTTCTGGACACTGGTTCGTCTAATCTATGGGTTCCCGATGTATCTTGTGGAAAGGGCAGTGGCGTTTGCGACACTTTATCTTGCAGAATACCTGGTAAAGCTTTCAAAACTTTTTCCTAGTTTTTATAGAGTGTGGAGTGCATGTATCTCTACCGAAATGCCTTTTTCTCCTAGCAGATCCCACTTATCCTGGTCAATAAGAGAAAATTCCAAAAAAAAAAATTGCTCCATAAAAATTTGCTCATTCGAAGCTGAGAATACTGCTTCAATTTAGAAAATGGGATCCAAGACAAGTCATTCACAAATATAACGTGGTTAGCCTATCAGCCAACATTAGCATTAAAAATTGTTGAGCAATATGCTGGTTCAATTTCGTTCAAAATTAACAATTGGAAATGTTCATCAAGCTTGAAAAAAAATTGTTACAAAAATAATCGGCACAGCCTGAATGATGCAAAGTCTTGTTCTGGAATAGGGCGGTTAATCCACAACTCTTAAATTATTTTCATGCTAGCGATTGTATATGATTACAATTATTGTCATCGTTACTAAGGAACTGTTCTCGTGAATTTTGATAGCACAAAGGTTTGAAAATTAGCTTTACAAATTGGTCATTTTGGAGAGCGCGACAGGCTGATTTGAACTATATTGTGTTCCATATAAGAAAAAACTAATCCTCATGCAATTCCATTTTTTTCTTTCCGTTCTTGACCCCTGGGTTTCCAACTGTTTCCAACTGTTTTTTTCGATCCTCAGGACGGCTATTGCAATTCTATTTTGGCTCTAATGAGATGTAGCTCAAATCAAAATATATATGGCGTTTCGGAATCGAATTCATAGTTTTCAGCACTCTGTTCATCCCTGTGCAGTGACAAGTCCTGTTGCCAGAAGAATGAGTTACGGTATTTCGGATACAGTAATCGTGGAAATGCATGTCAAGGAAAGAGAAGTTTCGATTCGTCGAAATCAACTACATATTCCCCCATCAGAAGAAAATGGCGAATTCGGGTTTGTCGATTGAATCTGTCGTCTAACACATAGAATTTGAGTTCTCTCTATCTTATTGTAACTGCAATCTGAAGCCCAAAAAATTATAAATAGCAGGTATTTTTACTGCTTTTTCGTATCACTGAAGAATGAGTTTAAGTATGGTTCCGGCTCAGCGTCGGGATTCCTTGGCTCTGATACTGTTCGGTTGGGTTCTGCTGGTTCGAATCAACTAGAAGTCCCAAAAACCACGTTTGGCCAAGCGACCGAGCTCGCGCACTTCTTCGACGGCGTGAGTTCTAGCTTTGTATGTTACTCGGAACTGGTTGACAAATTATAATACTATTTTATAGCAGCCACTTGATGGTGTTTTGGGTTTGGCATTCAGGGCCATCGCCATTGATGGTGTTACTCCACCACTGATAAACGCTGTGGAACAAGGCCTACTTGACAAGCCAGTGTTCACCGTATTTATGAAGCATGTCGGGGGTTTGTTATTCAAGTTTTGGGCTAATCTCGCAATGTAAGGTTCTTTTTGTGTTCAGATCAAGTTGATGTTAACGGCGGTGTGTACACTTATGGTGGAATTGATACGGCGAACTGCGGCGAAATAATCTCGTACCACCCACTCTCCTCTGCTACGTATTGGCAATTTCCAGTAAGTCCATACTTGTGTTGCTTCATGCCTGGAACGCCAACTCCTCCAAAGGCATTCCATGCAGTGATTCATCACTGATTGAAAACAATCATCACAATGCTCACTGGTCCATTACTAACGAAAAATCTTGAAATTCGCGGTATGGACGAAAAGTGCAGGGTGTTTGGATTGAGGGTGAAATCTTGCATTACGTTATAGCACCTTTTTGTCAACATTATAGATGGACATAGACCTGCAGAAAAGGTAACAAAGAAGTCGAAAATTCTTGAAGGTGTAGAAAAGCAAGAGAATGTCAAATCAGGATTAGATGCACTAGAGGAGCAGGAAAACGGAAAGAGCCAAATTTAAAAAAACAACAAGGGTGTGTGTTTGGCCCCTTTGGGTAGAGAACTGTGTATACCGTAAATCCGAAGGGAGCCAAGCGATCACCTCCGTAATGGTGCTGTCATCATACCATATTCGGCAGGATAATGTAAGTATTATAATATCGTCCAAGTAAGGAAAGGATGCAAAAAATTATATGCCACGAGAAGAGACTGTTCTTTGAACGGATGATGACTACATATTCGGAAAGTAAACCTCTTTGCTCGCCTTGAATGACCAACTTATGTAGTTCAGGGAAAGGTGATTGTTGAAATAGTAAACAATAGGAAATGATCGAACAGAAAATCCTTTTCGAAGAATCAAAAAAGAAAGAATTCACTCTTGAAATTCATTTTTCGAGTTACAACACTAAGTCAAGCACCATCCCCAATAAAAGAGCAATGCAGGTGGATGTGGTGAAAGCCGGCAGCTACAATCAACGCAGACGCTTCCAAGTATTCTCCGATACTAGTACCTCACTTATCGGCGCCCCGATACGAGTTGTTGAACAGATCGCTAAAGATGCCGGAGCAACGGTGACGTTTTCTTTTTTTTAGCACCAAAATTGATAGATTTCATTCCAGCGACTACCAAGTAACCGATCAATTTCTCATTACAGTACGATGCACCAAACGGAATCTACGCAGTCGATTGCAACGCTCAAATATTTTTGGAGCTTGTGATTGGTAAAAAGTCCTATCATATCGAAGCGAAAAATCTGATTGCCAGAGCTGGTGACGGAAGATGTGTGCTGTCACTTTTTGGCATGGACGGCGCCGGCTTTGGTCCATCCTGGGTTCTTGGCGATCCATTTATCCGCCAATTCTGTCAGGTTTACGACATCGGAAATAGGCGAATTGGCTTTGCTATCCCGCTTCAGAAGTAAAATGATAAATACGTCATCATAAGCCTAATGAATTGATTCTGACTGGGACAAACTGCAATATATGCTGAGTGACCCTTCCGAATGTCTTCTGTCTATATCTGAAGACTGTCGAATGAACTAGACTTACTCGTCAATTTCGACTGAGAGAGGGCTCCTGCTCTTGTCGAATACCATCAGACTGCTTGACCACTCTTCCAACTTCGAATCTGAAATGGATACTGTCGAGACCATGACTCCAAACTAGAGGACATTGAATTACAAATCTACGCTAATGGCTATTGCTTAAGAGAAGAAAATACAGACCACTTATTGTAGTACAATTTATAGCGAAAACTACGTTACAGTCTTAACACATTTCAGTCAAGGCATTACTTTCCAATTCAACCCAAACAACAATTCCAATGAGCTTGCTCTCTGAGTCCCTTCTGCTAACTGATAACCTGCATGTTTTCTTCGCCAGTGATGAGGACCAAGTGTTTGCTTTGGTCAGCAACTGCTGGCTGAGGATTCTTCTGCAATTTTTTCATTAAACTGTGCCCTAGGGTGTCCAGTAAGTGAGAGGAGGATATGCAGAGCATGCAAAAGCGTTTGACACAAATCCAGTTTTTTAAAATACATCTTGGCCCATTTCATCGACACCTGCACAGCTATCCTTCTTATGAGCCTTACCGTTATCACCTCTATCATAGGTTCATATGTTGCTCAGCCAAAACGACGGCAACAACGTTCGAATTAAAGTTTAGGGACGGTTTCATCTGAACTCTATGCTCAAGTTCCACCTCTATTTTCTCAACTTTTCTTCAAGGCAACAACAACGTTTTTCCCATGTTATTCAAAACTTCCCTTTTCGATTTTTACTCACCCACTGAATTTAATTATTCCACTTGTTCTGTTTACTCGTAGGGATCAATTGTAGAAATCTTCGTTTTGTGTCTGTTCTTAGCAACTCATTTACAATATGTACTTAAGGGCACAGTTCACTTAAAAAGTGGTTTCTGAGATTTCCTCATATGATGATGTGAGGCCTCTCCCGATACCATATGTGCCGACTTCCAGTATAGGGCCCAGTAGGGGTTAGACACTGTATCGGGTGAATGCCACAGCCACAACGGACGAGTTTCAGCGGCGTTATAGATTATAGAGGATGTACTATCTCAAAGGACTTCAATGTTGGATGTTCAAACAAGTTGTCATGACCCATAGTTACAGTAAAAGGCATTTCTGGACACTTTTGGCTCGATGTAGACAGCCCTTTGTGCAATTGTACCAACTAAAATCTCGTCCAAATACCCCTTCCATTCTATTTCCGTCGTGGTAATCTCGTACAACCTCTGTTTTTATTACCTTTGGAGAGCCTTTTTTTCGAGGAGTAGGCGGACTTTCTGTTTCCTTCACCGTCGATGCTCTACTCTGCAACAACATTTCCGCTTTCCAACTAGAAAAGGATTTTCGAATTCATGTATCTTGTGAACTCTGCCTTAAGACTACGGTAGCTATTGCAAAAGAATCAAGTCTTGAAATACCGTCCAACCATCCATCGTAAACAAAAAACTGTTAGAGTCGGATTTCAACGTCCCGCTCGTAATCGTGTGTTACAGGACATTTTGTCACCAAATTCACAACTTCATCTAGAATGATTTATACATTTCTCGACGATATATACAATTCTTTTATAAATTCTGATTGTTTTGCCATTGGATATATACTCTAAGGTTATAATAGCTAACATTCAATTGCCATTTACTTCTTGCAACTCTGGCATTGGCGTGAGTTCTGCTTCTGGCTTCGGCGTCGTGAGCGGCGCGTCGGCGTCGGCGTCATCATCTGCCAATTTTTCCTTCAGGGTCACTTGAATCTTCGTTCCCATCTGATTTACACGATTTGCAACCATTCTGAAGAATTCTTGCAATTCGCGAAGAGTGTCCTGCAATAAGTGGCGTCATGGTACATAGCATTTCCAAGGAATAGCTCAAAAAGTGAGTGAGGAGTGAAATTGTTGACGACAAGGCCAAGAAGTTGGTGCTTCCTTTCGAAAAATATCGGGTGACATGGGAAGTGCGCAGAGCGCTTGTGAATTACCCTCCCGACTTTCTTTCACAGGAATACTCCTTGAAGAAAAAGTTGCCAAGAACCTCACCACCACGTGAATATGAAATAATATGAATATGTCGCTTTTATGAATATGGCCTAGCCTGACATAGAAAATGAAACGCTAAACGTTTTCTCCCTCTTTGGTTTGGGTAAAAACTCATAGATTTTTGCTCTAATGCCAACAGCATGTAATAATAGTGATGCTCTCTTCGCTCGATCCAAACAGAGTTGTTCTGCTTCTCGTTGTGAACAGAGGTCCAATATGAACAGATTTTTTGTGATCCTTATTGATTTTCTGTATTGTTTGTTTTTCACTGTAACCGCAAAGAATGAATCCAAATTTCGGGGAAGTAAGAAGCTTTCAGCTTTCATGGGTCTCCGCGTAGTCTTCTCGAAAACTTAACCCGTGACTATAGAGCAGTGTAAAAACAAAGCAACTCGACTCACGTCCAAATTGAAATTCTCATATTTTTGCTTCAAAATCGACCAGAGGTGAAGCACATATTTGTGAAGAGCTTGATAATGTTTCTCTGCTTGGCATGAAAAATCGCAGTCCTAAATGCCATAAAAATAAACCCTATCTAGTCTTGAATTCTAGGCGTTACATGAAGTAGCCGTGATGTAAATAGACTAACCCGAGTTGGTCGGAAAATTCTTGGCACACGAGCAATTTCTGAGATGTTCTTATAGCAATCGGAGATGATTTTCACTTCATTATATTGACTCAGCGAACTGCAGTTGAAGTTGGGATTTCGTTCGACATCTATCACCTGTAAAATCAATTGGTATGTGAATATTTACCTAACCTGAAATCTGATCATGCTCAAGATATACTAAAAAGATTGAACTCAAAATCAACTGAAACGACCCTTTTCGCCATGTCCAAAGTATACGAGAGCTAGTGCCGAATACAGTAGAGGAGAAAAATGCACATAAGAAGCTGCGAAGAACTGCAGATGCCACTAACTTTGCCTTCAGAGAAGTCTACTACCACAAAGAAACACCTTCCCCTCAGTTGGCGGATATTGCTGCTTTGCAGTCAAATAGTGTTGGATAGTGTGAAATATGCTTTAGTTATATATGTCAAAATTTCGCGCGATTTGCTCCGCTAAGAGAAAAATTATGAATGAAAAGGTGTAAAAGTTTTTGACCGAAGATTTTTGAGGGCTTCTGTATGTATGTTTAACAGTCCCTCCCTCCCCCCCCCCCCCCCCCCCCCCCTCAACTTTTCTTTATGACAATCTTTACCTTCAAATCCGGGAATTTGTTCAGAAGCAATTTTTCATCAGGAAGGTTGATGATGTTGTTGTAGGTCATTCCAATGACTGGAAAACCACGAAGGCGTTGGCCTGTAAATGAGCCAATGATTTTTTTGACTTGTTGTGAAAAATTTTAAAGCCGAATAGAGAGAAGGTTTGGGATTGGTTACAGTGAGAGTAACTGAGAGTAAGAGTAAAAGTAACAGTAACTAATTACTCTTGTAATTATTTGACAACGACTTCGTAATTGAGTACAAGATAATAATCGGAAACTGCGGCTCTCGAGTATAGGAAGATATTCTCATCGACGTACCAGATGGCTGGCTTGAGTACTCCTCGAACGCTGAGCAACTATTGTATTTAATGATAATATTAGATCCTTTACAGCTTAGCTCACGTTAATTTTGTGGTATTGAGTTCGAGACGAGTAAAGAAAGTGATGGTCCGGAATAGTGCAAAATTGGTGAAGAAAAGCAACACGAAAGAAAAGCGGCGCATTCAGAGAAGCATGAAGTAGAAGTGTATAGATTCTGGACGAGAATGGGACGACAAGGTTAGTTCGAAAGATATTTGGACGAGTTGTTCACACGCATTGTTGGCTACAGTAAGTTGCTTGCAACGTATTCGTCCCGATGCAAACCATGTGCAACATCTACATCCTCTTCAACGTTGTAAGAACTCGTCACATTATGGGTGTGTACGTCGGCTGAGCCGGTTTCGGGGCTCTATTACACATTCCCTCTTACGTTTTTTTAAACGACAACATCCCTTGTGCTATTCTTGGTGGTTACGGATTTATCCCATAGAAGTCTCATGAGCCGGTTTTAAGTGGACCTTCAAAGGCGCAGCAGTGAGTTAGTTATAATCAGATCGCTTTGATGGGTTGAAACCTTAGAATGCTCTCGTTGGCACAAAAATTCAAATGGACTTTACATTGAGTGGATGCAGCAGTGTACCGTAAACATCAGGCACGTAAAACAGCTGCGGCAGTGAGACATTAATGGTTACCCTCACCAAGACAGTAGCTTCTTCGGGCTTCAGATTCTTCTGTGGCACCGTGAAAGCTACTCATATCTCTCTGAAAGTAAAACAGATACCAATAGGACGGTGACTAGTCCAAAAAATAGTTACATCTGCGCGTTTTCAGCCAAGATACCTCCACCAGCTTGTTATGGTTTGCCCCTTCCTTGGATAATGAATCTTCTAGTAGCATGGATACCTTCCACTTCAGAATATTATTATTGTAATGCATCCTTAGAAAGATCCTCAGGAAAAGCGAGTTACAGGAAAGGTGTTGTATCAAAGAAACTATATCACAACGTTTTGGACAGGCACTTTTACTCAAAATGATCCGGCCTACTTTAATCCGGAACTGAGCATGTCGTCCTAAGGGTTGGAACTGGCGGTATATGTAGCTATGAGATCTCGCTTCGAAAAAAAAAACCCAGTGATGTTTGCGCGGCCATCTTCTAACCCCGTTCCTTCAACACAGTGTGCGATAGTGTTCGATGAAAATCACGGAATCTTTCTTAGAATTGAGTATTCGAGAGCCTTTGAAGGTTTACAGTTCTGCATTTGGGTTTCTTTGAAGTATTATTAGAGTTAACTGAACAAATCTTAATTTTCAAGGTGTTTTTGCAAATGTTATCGATTCTGGTTGGATGTATGTTTACAATTCCACAGACACGAAAATCAATAAAAGATACCAAGCGGATTCACCTGCTGGCAGAGCTAGCTGAGTACGTTCTCCGTTATGACAGTGGACGACTTCGTCATCGGTGTCACACTCGCATTTATCCAAACAATCAAACACATATCCTGCAAAAATGATAAGATAAATCAGTAGATATGAAATAGCGCCTAGAATTCGATAAGTCATAGCAAACGCTATGAGAATAACCGGTCGCTATGAAGAGATCGGGTGAGCGCTTTTCGAAAAACGCTTCACCGAAATCACCTTTAAGACAACCTTTTTTGAACTAATCATCTTTCATGTGGAAATTCTATTGAATTCTGTTGATTGAGAGTTGACAAGGTCACCAAGGAACTGGCTCATTTATTAATACTTTACAACTCGCACGGACGTTACAATCGTATATCGCAATCGAACCTACCCCTCAACGTTTCTATGTTTTTCAAGGCTTTGTGTTTTGCATTTCGAAAAACATCACCGAGGTGAGCAAAAGTGCGAGAAGCAGCAAAGTTATTCGTCTCACGACTGAACTTATCATGGAAAATTCCGAGTCACAATTTCAAAATTTCTCGCAACTTGAAAACTGTAGTTGAAACGTAAGTAAGTGGATGACTAGAATCTCCACTAGAACATATTGAAAACGATGAATTGAAAGGAAAAATACTCTGAGAGCATCTTGCTCTGAATAAGCACGTTCTCCATTATCAACAACGTAGGCTACACTTCCCTTGCAGCGCTTACGATTCTTCTGTTTTTTTTTTTGAATATTATGAAAAACTGGCTTGGAGCGTTATTCAACTGCTGACAATAGGTGTAAGCTTGTGGCCAGCTCAATGAATAAAATAACGTCCAACGCAAAACAGACGCCATTCGTGTAAAGCGGCTTGAACTTTCCTCGAAGACTACTTTTAATAAAATTTCGTGGTTTTTAATCTCTAAGGTTACATATTGCATGCTTCAAAGACTGCTGAGCATGACCATTGTTATAATATTTGTATCCTTTGGAATAAGCTAGAACTATCAGCGGGTCTGTAACGATATCCAGCGAGAGGCAAGATCCGGAAAAAGGTTTTTCCATACATGGAAAGGGAGTAGATTCAATTTCAATTCAGTCTTTTACCGAATTACCATGGAATTTCCAGCTATCTGCAGTTCAACTTGAAGACGCAACTACAGCGTTGGCCGGATAAGCATTTGAACATCAACTACTCTTCAAGAATTCGTTAGGTACTAATTCTTCACTTTTTATTGTAAATTACGAAACCATCATCTCAAGATATAATATCAAAGTACGAAAATAACACGTGAGCTTAGATAGTGCGGACTTTTTTTTTATTACTCGCAACTCCAGCTACTATTTTACAATAAAAACCTCACTTTCATTTGAACTAAGAAATTGAAGAAAAAGGGGAATATGGTTCCAAAGCTTACCAAATGCACTTGAGACTAACAGAGCCAGTAATAGGAAATGCATGTGGCCTTGGCGTGATGATGCTTAGTGGAGTAGAAACTGATGTTGTGGTGCTTCTCTTTTATATTGATACTGACAACTGTTAAGCGAGAGTCGTTTGGATAAAGTCCAAGACGACGAAAAATCTCTGTTGAAAGCTTTCGACAACGATTGATGGCCAAGAGACGCAGGGTGATCTGCTATCGCCGTCGGACAATTGCCACATGATCAGGTTGGATCTGAGTCATCGTGGCCGATGAGCTCAGATCACCACTATGACTCATTCAGGTACATGAACTCAAAACAAAGTGTAAAACAAGAACGACTGAGCTACTTTCAATTCATTGTTTTGATTTGATGTTTTGTTAACTGCTGTTACTTCGCCGCAGTACGCGTTCCAAAAGTCTCACAAGGTTGGCGTTTTATGGACAAAACTTCAGTCTCTAACGGAACTCTAACCCGTATTTGAGCACAAGTACGGGTTTGAGTCACGTCCATGACTGACACTTTGTCCATGAATCGCCAACCTTGTGAGACTCTTAACTCATATTTGTAGAAGCAGATCTGGCGGTGATGAATGTGTTGTAGCCATTACTGCTCTAANTTTGATGTTTTGTTGTCTGCTGTTATTTCGCCGCAGTACGCGTTCCAAAAGTCCCACAAGGTTGGCGATTTATGGACAAAACTTCAGTCTCGTACGGAACTCTAACCCGTATTTGAGCACAAGTACGGGTTTGAGTCACGTCCATGACTGACATTTTGTCCATGAATCGCCAACCTTGTGAGACTATTAACTCATATGTTTTTGTAGAAGCAGATCTGGCGGTGATGAATGTGTTGTAGCCATTACTGCTCTAACGCAGACAATAAGCCTCAGACGTCACTGATTTACAGAACTTTGTGTGACATGAATTTTGGAAATGTCACAATTTACTTGTATAGTTTGCAGGATCGGGGCTACTCAGGTATTCAGGTGAAGCAGAATTCATTACTTACCCTGGACGAAATTTAGCGGTAGGCCAAAGGTGGCTACGAAAATTTCTTACAGTACATATGGTTATGAATTTTAGTGTATATGATGTGCAACAAATAAGTTACTCGATATATAGCGAATCAGCTCCGTCAAACTGATCAGGTGATAGTGACAGTCTGCTAGATTGTAAGCCCGTAGCACCTTAGCGGAACAGCTATAAGTCCATCCTGGCATGATATGCCCAACTCTGAGGTGTTATTGTGCGACCTCAGCCGTTGTTGCAACTACATTCTGCTAAGGATACAGACTCGTCGCCTTCGTCGGAGCAAAGAAGCCGAAAATGTGCGAACCTAATTCTTAACAGCTGGCATTCCCGACCTCAGTTTAATTGCAAGCGTGAGCTGTAGACAAAACGCTGGTATCGTAAGTTGACAACAGGTCCCTTATTTACCTTATCTCTTAGACTCCAGAGACTATGATTTTACCTCCTGTGCAGGGTAGGGCCTCAAGACGGACTGCAGCGCTGCTTATGGAATTATCTTCTGCGCTCCCATGGGATTCCAAAAAGTCGTTGTCCGAATTTTACTTGGAAAAATCGATAAAACATGAAAAAACCGCAAAAAAGCACGGAAATGTTACAAGTAAAACGAACCGTAGCCATTACGTACGATGTGATACCAGGACGATTAAAAGAGGAGATGACAATGTATGTCCCAAAAAAATTTCTTATCTTACGCTCTATGATATACCCTTCTCACAGCCCTCAGTACCAGAACTGAGCGGGGATGCCTGATAAGAAAACATGAGATAATCCAAAAATATTTATTGCTTTCGAACGTTAGCACTCCTCATAGGGCACTCCTCATAGGAGTACGGTTTATTTTCGAGTAAGGGCCATTCTCTGATGGCCGACTGTCAATCAGCGACTAAATTGGCCATCTGTGACTTTGCTGATGTGAGTTTAACGTTTAAGAACTCTATATTTTGCCATTTTGAAACTCTGTGACCTTAAATTTTGTAGATTAACGAAGTTGGTAACCAAAAAGGGAAAATGAAAGCCCTGGCAGAACAACTGAAGAGGGCAACGAGGTAAGTTGATGGTTGCGAGATTCAAAAATGAGTTACTCTTCATGGGCGAAAATGTTCCAGGCGCACGTCAAGAAGAAGAAAAAAGGGGGATACCACGAAAAATAACGGTCCACCTCATAATACTGAAAAAGGCCCTCATCATGACAAAGCGCCAGCACAAGTGCAAGGCCCAAAGGTAAGAGTCATTTCATTACACTGATAGACTTAGCACAAGTTAGGCATTGGTACGTAGTGAGTGATATTCATTCCAGCCCCTCGCTGGATCGCATTACTAGCACAATGATTAATCTATTGGGAAACGGTTCAAGTGTACAATCCAGAAAATGAATGAATGGAAGTTTGCAGGTTCAGAATGACAGTGAGCCCAGGACACGTACTACCCCTCGTTCAACGAGTGGAAAAGAGCTAGACATTCATCAGCTAGTCTCAAGCAAATCAAGTCATAACGACGAGTGGATCATCGGCGGAACGTCGAACAAACAGGGATTAGCGACATCAGGGAAGTCTGACGGAAGACCGGTCGATCATAATGAACTTCTCTCAAGCAGGTCGTCCCATCAATCAGAATGGATCATCGGCGGGACGTCAAAACAACAAGAAGCCCAGATAACAAAACAAAATAGTAGCGTAAACAGTGATCGTACCTTAGCAGGTACAGAGCAAACCAACCCCAACGAACCTCAATCAGGCAAATTGACGACAGCAAAGAATTCTGAATGGATCCTAGGCACCGGACACGTGGCAGATGCAAGATCACAAACTCCTGAGCGGAGTTCAGCCGCCCCTAAGGAGCAAATGGCTACGGCTAAAAGTGATAGTGAAATGAGTACCGCCAGAGGCTCCCCATATCAAGAGAATCTCTCCCGCGAAGTGTTCGGTTATGATGATGTACCACCCCCTACTGAACCAGAAATCCTTCCCACCACAGCCGAATCCGATATTATGCTGAGTGCTAGAGGAGTACATAGTCGCACATGGCTCACGAAATCTCGGGGTTTCTCAACACAACATCAGCTAGCAGAAGAAAAAGGGCTCGCGCACACCCCACCTTCGGCATTGGATGCAAAAGCTCATCGACATCGTAAGCCGAGACGCGGTCGAAGCGGTGTCGCACTTGGCACATCATCTGATTCGAGGTAAAAGCGGACAGTTACTCACAATTAGTCTATTATTATCTATTGCTCAGTGACACAATGGCCCACTCCCGAGTGTTTTGGATTTTTCGTTCTCGAAAGTATAAGATTGAGTTCGAGATTGTTCAGACGTTTTACGCTGAGCCACCCAAAAAAACATCCACTCAGAGTGCTCACACACGCATCCCTCTATTGCGTATTGCACGTTGAGTGTGATCGCGTATAGGTGTGTGTTTGTACGTATGTGTGTGTAATGTATGTGTGATTGTGAATGTCTGTATGCGTAGATGTGCTTGTGTATGTGAGTATGTGTTGTATGTGCGTATATATACGGGTATGTCTCTAGATATGTATGTATGTATGTATGTATGTATGTATGTATGTATGTATGTATGTATGTATGTATG